AGGAAGTATTTAATATACAAAATATAGTTAATTTTGAAGTCCTAAATTTTAGGCAAATAACTTGTATTACTATTTTATCCAATATATAATATTTTTTTAAAGGGTAAAAAAGGCGAACGATATTTCGTTAAGGGCCTTCGTGCTTTTAATATAGTATATATATATATATATATAAATGTCCTATTAACTCAAACATAATAGCTAGTTAGAGGTTTCTTTCTTGGATCTGCGTACTTCAACGTCTCACCTGCATTTATTTATTCAATCTTTAATTTAGGCTTGACAGGGTTTGTTCGATCTCTAACTAAGGATTGACTAAGTAGGAACCTTAGTCTTTAGGATCAATTGCATCCTTCTTAAGGCTACTATCAATGTTAGTTTCATGATACACCGACTTCATGTTTTTGGCTGAAAAAGGAGGTTGTCANCTGTTTCTTTAACATTAAGGACTTGTTGCAGTTAACTTTATTTTTTAATTCAACTTAGATAGAATGCAAAAAAGGGCTTCCAGCATGACTTTTCATGACTTGTACTACATCAATACTAGAAATTACTGCTACCTCAATGGTTGTGCCATCATAGAGTGCTATCATATTTCCTTTTCCCCTTTTCTTTTGGCGATGAAGTACACTACAGTACTATTGTAACTTTTATGAACATTACTCGTCAAACATGACAATATTAATTCATAGGCTTTAATTTTCATTCTTTTGGGATCCTTTACCTCATTACATTCAACACTGACTTTTATAGGGTGCTTGTTAGAAGATATTTGGTTGGAGAGCAAGCAAAAGGACTTTTGAAACTTACTGCTAATAAAATATTAATAAATGTATGGATTCTGATTCTCTAACTAACTTTTAACTAAAGGAAAAACAAACTGCTAACACAGATGATTTTTGTTGCCCTCTTTAAATATCTTGTGCATTCTTAGTAATTGAAGGAAGAAAGGGGGTCTTAGTAATTGACGAAGGGCAAAAATTACAAGGTCTGACACAAACTTCTATCTATTCTTCAGATTCTTCTTTTGGCCACAAGAAGAGTTAAATGTTGCCCTCTATTTTTTGCTTCTCCTAAGTGATTGGCTTACACTCCTTTAACCTTTAAGTTCAGTTTCCTGTTAATGCTAGTGGTTACTCACTTTCCTTTTTCTGCTTGCATGCTATTAAAGTAATAGTTTTATGTGGATATTTGAGAGATCTAATAAATTGAATGGTTATGGCACAAGTATAATTTCAAAATTTGATGTTAGCCGTCGATTTCCGCAATTCCTATTGCTAATGGTCTATTCTACTTCAGATGGATGTACGTGGATCCCTTGCAGATCTTTTTAATATGCAGTTGAACCCGCTGTTGGCTTAAGACGTATGGAGAGCCAAGTGAGACGGGATCTTCTATGAAGAGCTTGGGAGAGGTTGGAGTAATAATTGATGTACTGCAGCTGTAATACTTTTCTCTACTGCTTTTCTCAGCATCTCATATTTTAATAGTTTCTTCAGGTTAGATTTAAGGGGTTATAGAACAATCTCCCTCCTGGAATATGATCCCGTTCACACTTTATGGATGTACATCGTTATTAAAATGACAATTGACCATCATTTGGCCTCACAGGGGAGGCCGGCACGATAAAAAGCCTCTACATGTGATGTCCAAAAAATGTAAACATGTAATTTAGTAAATTATAGCCCATTGTGGGGTGCAACCAATGTTATTATCTTTTTTATTGTATACAGCTTCCTTATTTGGCATCCCATAACTCTACTTGGATCCTCTGTTTTGGTGCATATTGGACCTGTAGCAATTCTTGCATGTATTCAACGGTGGTAGTTTGAGCTATAAGTAGAATGGCTATGAAATGAATTTTAACCCGACCAAATAAAGCGAACCAATCGCACTAAATCTTGTTTGAACCAATTATTAGGTTTTGGTAAAAACGTAAAGACTTTGAGGTAAGCCTATAGCCTTATCGAATAGAGAAAATTTTACTTTATACCCATTAATTCTAAACTATTTACCCTTTAATGCTTAGACCCAAATTATTTACTACTCCTATCCATGGGGCCCAAACCATTTACCCGGCACCTTCTAACTTCCAAGTTCCCATTGTATACGTCTTCTTGTACTACTAAAGGAGTATTACTTTTCATAAATATTCATCAATACAAGAAGAATAAGCCTGATCTCTCGGAAACAAAGATAAGAGTCTCATCTTTGTCAACGAACTGGCCGTTAAAATTAACGGAGGAACCATTGGTAAGGCCGTGCTTAGTGGGATATTGGGTACTATGGAGTGGAGAATCAAGGAAAGAAAAGGGAGATTTGAGGGAGAAGATATCGAAGCCGTAATTGGTTCTGCCAACGGTGAAGAAGATAATAAAACATGTAGTGACTCTGAATCCATAATGTTGTTGATTTGCTTTACAGCTGGGAAATGGTATCTGTTGTTAAAGAGAAATATGAGCTGCAATTGTGGTACTTGAGAAAGGCGACGGAGTGTAGGTAGGTGGAAAGTGTTAGCGTTAGGCATGACGTTTCTTCTTTTGTTTTGTTTTGACTAAATGGGAGAGATAAAAGGTTTCCCTTTTTACCTTGTGCTGTCGATCCTCTCCGTCTAAATTTTTATGTGTATTTGAAATTTTGAATATTCACCATTGTTGGACTTGAAGCTCTAGAGTTTAAAAATTTTATTTTGAAGATTTCTTGTTTGATTCAAAGTAAGTGCTATTAAATATTGTTTATAATACCTTTAGAAGTTCATACTGAAATTTGATAGCGTTTGGAGCTGATTTGAGGTAATTGAGATCGAAATTTTCAGTTGAAAATCAAAGAAGAACACAGCTACAGTATACCGCTACGGTATACAATATGATGTAGGAGTATATAGCTATACTGCAACAGTATACTATTATAGTTTACAATATACTGCAACGGTATATTGTAATAATCGAAGAAGAACACAGTTACCTAACAGTATACTGCTACAGTATACAATATACTATAGGAGCATATAGTTATAACTTATACTGCAACAGTATACTATTATAGTATACAATATATTGTTATAGTATACTGTAATAGTATGCAATATATTGTAACAATATGCTGTAATAGTATACAAGATACTATAGTAGTATACTTATTACTCGTAAATTCACTTGTCTTTTTCCTTTTAATTTGCTTTAAGCTTGTACCCAACATGAGAGACAAATTGAAAGTGCAAAAATATAAAATATTATAGTATGCTATATAATGTAACAATATACTCTTACAATTAGATCTTTTTAGAATTTTTTGAAATTTTTATTGACAACTGATATTATTTCAGTTTAATAATTAAATTAAACTTTTTTTAACTCTTTGCGTATAGTTGTATACCTTGTTGGTATAGCTATATACTATACTGGTATCATATGTTAGTTAATAATTTTTTGGTTGTATTAGCTATATTTAATTGGTACACAATTTGATTTTTCTTTAGTAATAATATAAAAAAAAAGAATAATAAAAAATAGTGAAAATAGTAAATGAAATTAGATTATGAAGAGAAAAGGAATATAAAAAAAAAGTTAAATGAAATTAGAATAGGAAAAAAAATAAGAAGAAAACTAAAAAAAGAAAAAGGAAAAAGAAAAAAAAAGGAAAAAGAAAAGAAAAGAAGCATAGAAATAAAAAAGAATTGAAGAATAAATAAAAATTCCCCACAAAACCTACTATAGGTAGGAAATGTAATTAGTTTATGGATAGAAAAACAAATAAATAGACAATAAATAGTTTTATTTTTATGAGTTACTGTGTCAAAACCCCTATCGAATAATCAGGCAAGGTTGTGTTTTTGATTTGTACAACATACTGAAATAATGTGGGATTCAACCTAATTGCATTATGTTTAAATATTGTCACATTATACTTGAAAACATAAACAGTTTGCAGCTGCTCAAGAAGCCACTGGAGAAGGCACATGGTAGTGGACTTGTGGTAGCTGATTTGGTTTTGGCCTACTCCATTCTTGAGCCACAGTGGAGAACCGGGAGAAATTCAAAAATAGCCAAATTTATAACTGGTCGTTCAAAAATAGTCCAGTTTCAAAAGTAATCGAAATTTAATCACTTTTCATGTAAAGATAAATTTGAGAGAAAACACTATTCAAAACCCGGAAAATACGTCAGTATATTATACCGGAGTCCCAGCATAAGTATGCTTGAACTCCAGCTTATTATAGTGGAGTTCCAGGATAAGTATGCTGGAACTCCAGCATAATATGATGGAGTTCCAGCATAAGTACACTAGAACTCCAGCATAATATACTGGAGTTCCAGCAAGTATAATTGTCCAGTATAATATACTGGGGTTTGGAGCACCGATGCTCCAGTCTCCAGTATATTATACTGGAGTCAGCAAAGTATACCGGTCCAGTATAATATGCTAGAGTTCATACATAGGTGCACCGAACTCCAGTATATTATGCTGGACCGGTCTCTGTTGCAGCAAAATAGTGGTTATTTTTCATTGACTTCGTAAATGCTGGCTATTTTTGAATGATCGTCCGAAAACTGGTTATACCGTGCTATTTTTACCGGAGAACTCGATTTGAAAGAAAGTATGGGTTAAGCAATGACAATAGTTTATTAAAAAGATAAAACAAATTATATAAGCTTCCAAGCGATATACAGTAATGTAATTAAACAGTTATTGAAGAAGTAAATAGATAAGCAATTGACATTATTTTCATCGGTCTTTGTTCTCAACCAACTATAGACTTTTCAATTTTCAGGAAGGTGATGCTAAACATATTCATGAACAAAATTGATTTCGAGGACTAAATTGAATGCACTTTAATTTTGCTCCACGTGTACACGTTGATATCTATATTTTATTAAAAGGAAAGTAGTATGCATTGTGATTAATCCAAGTAGCAAGCTAAAATGAAGCCACTTGGCAATTTTAAGACAATATATATAATTACAAAGTATAAATGGAAACATAATTAATGGAAGTAGTTGAATGAATCTTATATATAATTTAGATAGATCTTAGACAAATTTAATATATTATCTATATTTATATTTATATGTATATTTATATCCATATCTACTATATTTAGTTCATATAATAATCTACTCATAGATTTTCTTCAATATTAGCTAGAAATATGGAGGTAAAAAGTTAATTTAAAAACTATAGTAGAAAAAATTAAAAAATATAGAAAGACGTAAACTGAGATAACATAGGACTATCTATACTTTGGAGTAAGTTAAAATATAAAATAAAATAAAAATTTATTTAAGATATTAAAGATTTATTGATTTTAAAAATTAAAAAAATTCAAGCAACAAAATAAGATCTTACATAAAATATACAAATTATATACAATGTAAAAAAAATTAAATATCTATATCTATCTATCTATCTATCTATATTATATTAAAAGGAGAGTAGTGAAGCATGAGGTTAAGCCAAGCGGCAAGCTAAAAAAAGTCACTTGGCAATTTTAAGACAACGTTAAAAATTTGAATTATAAATGGAAATATAATTAATGGAAGTAGTAGTTCAATAAGAATTATTTTTCAATTATGATACAAATCTCTATTAGTAGTATACTTTAGTTAACATTTTTTTGTATAATTATGGTAGTGACGAATTTTAATTAATTGATAAAGCTTTGTAACTGACCTTATTTTGGTACAATATACATTACTGTAGGTATCTTTAACTAAAATTTTATGCATAATTCAGTTATGGTAGGTATCCTTTTTTGAGAAAGAATCAATTAAATATTCGTTTTGTATTTTACACATTAATTTTAAGTTGAAATAGTAATTCTTTATTTAGCACAAACTTTGTATCAGACCTTATTTGGGTGCAATATACATTACTGTAGGTATCTTTAATTAAAATTTTGTGTATAATTCAGTTATGGTAGGTATCCTTTTTTGAGAAAGAATTAATTAAATCTTTATTTTGTATCTTACACATTAATTTTAAGTTGGAATAATAATTTTTTATTTAGTACAAGCT